ACTGAATATAAACGATTATTGGTTATCAGTCTTTGCTACAACCCATGTGTAATGTTCAGTTGTAAGACATAAACTACCCCTCAGGCAAGAGGTATGTGCCTCTGTTAAAGAGAGTTTAAAGTGGGGTTGAAGGAGGTACTTATGTATAGTCAGAGTATTACCTACAGTGTTCAGTGTGTCCCCAGTCTGGAGAAGCAGAAACTAAGCACTGCTTTACTTACCGACTGCCCTTTCCAACAGTAAAATGAAGCCCTCATATCCATCTATGTTCTCCCTAATGCCACACTAAACCAGTTAAAATATTCTAAATATAGCATATACTTAAACTGATATTGAATTTTTTTAGGTGGCTTAAATATGTTTTTCTGCAGCCCCCACCCTCAGCAGTGCAGTGCTTATCTTCTGCACTCTTGCCTGCTCCTCCAAACTGGAGGCGTGCCGACCGCCGTCTACTGTAGCAAATACACTATGGATAAGCACCTCCTGCAACCTCACTTGAAAAAAACTCAAACTATCCCTTTAAAGGCTAAGTTCATATTGTCTCAGGTCTACCTTAAAACAATGCTTCCTCCTGCTACTGCCAGTGAAGAAATCCCTTCCTAATGCTACTCCAGTATGAGAGATGGGGTGTATATTTACAGTCCTTGTGTGAAAAAACGATTTTAAAGTTTAGCTCAAACTATCATCAGCAGTCTGAGTTTGTCCAGTCAAATGAGTATCTGTCTTTTAAGTAAGAAGTTACCTCTTTGCTCCAGACAGTGTGTCCCTGCTGAGCTGCAGTGGAGGGATATTAGATATTAGAGAGAAGAGAAGTCACCACAGTTTACACAGATCCTGAACCAACCAACAGCTGTAGACACACGTCGCTCTGAACCAAAAACAGGAACTACCAAAGTCAGTAAGATTCATCGGTTGAGGACCATGAATGTATGAACTGCATCTTATGAGATCCACCCAACATTGAGATATTTCATATCTGCCATCACCAGAGCCATCAACAACACATAAAACAGAAGAGTCTGGGCTGTGATGAAGTCCTAGTTGCAATGATTCACATGATCTGCTGACAGGAAGGGGCCACAACATTAACACTAAAATAACTTTTTCTTAAAGCAACAAGTACATTTTGTTTTAGACTGAAATATCAACGTTTAGCACAAATTTCTGTGTAGACATTCGTGGTCCGAAGAGAATGGATCCTAAAGGTGATCCCCTCACTTTTCCTCTAGCAACACCATCAGGTTTCCATTTGAAGCTTTGAGTGAAATGTCTCAATGTCCGGTGGATGGATTGCTGACACTTGGTACAGACATTTATGTCCTGCTCAAGATTAATTGTAATTCCCCGACTCCCTGGCAGTTTTAGTTTGTCCAGTTCTTTGGTTTATGACCAAATACCTGCAAAACCAATGACATTCCCATCAGCCTCAGCTGTACTTTGTGTTAAGTGCTATTTAGTAAATGTTATTAGCTTAAGTAAGATGGTAAACATGGTAAACATTACACCTCTTAAACACCAGAATGTTAACATAGTCACTGTCAACATGTGGACATGCTGACGTTAGCATTTTGTGAGATTCCCAGAAGTGTTTGGTTCCCACTTTGATCAATATTATTCCTTCCTTGGGAAAGCAAAAAAGCTATTTTAAAAGGTTTTGTTGCTGAAGAGGAGCTGTGATTTTGCATATCAAAGTGCAAAAATAAACAGGACTGCAGCAGCTTTTACGGTGCAGTACAATGTTTTGAAGCTATGCACGGTAGTAGTAGTAGTTGAACAGTTAGCAGAGTGGACGTGAGACGAATTAACAGACAGAAATCCTGTTAATGTTTAAATAAGCACCCCTGGATAGCTGTGGAAAGAGATGCAAGAATGTTCAGATATTCTCTCTTGAACGGACCATCATAAAGAGCTTCACAGTGTTATGCAAACTTCTGAAAGGCCTCTCATTGGCAGCGCGCAGCAGCAGGTCAATACTTTAGGACAACTCTCTAATTGATCTGGCAGCAGGTGTCCAACGTTGTTTTTTTAAAGGATACTATAGTAAATGTGACAAAGGCAGAATGATTTCCTGCCCGGCTAAAGTCTCAGTGAAGGCTCTGGACAGATGCTGAAGTGTGTACCAGAGTCGAGCCCGCACTTTTCAACCTCTAATCAACTTTCTCGAACATGAAGCACTTTTCTGGGACGTTGGTGGCACGAGGTCCATACAGTATAGAGGCAGTCCTCTTTCCCATAAGAGATTCTTGTCATTAAAAAAAAAAAGAAACGCAAGGACGAGCAGTATTCTGGCTCATAGCGAGTATTTGTTGTATTACTTCCTTTGGTGTCCCTCAGAAGAATAATTAGTGCTTACATTGCAGTGTAAAAAGGGGTCAAATAGCTGTATCTGTCACAAGGGGAGGATCAGTGAAGGTAACCTCAATCACAAAATCATTTTGCTAAACCTGGTTTTCATTTAAAGATCAAACAAAGCGGGGAATACACTTCTGCATGATCACATAAGTATAAATGAGCTTTGGAAAATCACGCCGTTTGTCCTTCTGCTTTCTGAGGCTCCTTTTAAAGAGTTGACAATACATATAATACAGAAAAGCACAGACTGACTACATGCTGTTTAGGTGTGTGTCAGGGTCCTGAAACACCTTCATGGGTCTGTTGTGTTACACACAGTTGTATAATTATCAAATCAGGCTGCCTGGCAATACATGCAGAGCTGCATTCAGACAGGAACTTGTATAAATAACATTGTACAAGGTCTCCGATTGAAGAACAAAGCATGTCTAACAGTAAGTAACACAATAAAGCTGTGAAGGCCACGAGTCTGTATGGAAGCCCAGAGAGGACAAGGGTAAAAATTTGATTTGTTTATTTAATTTTAAAATGACAGCAAGACAGTTTTTTGTGATCTTGACATCAGCTTCTTGAGATCACAGCTGTTTGATGCTCAAGGCAAAAAAAGAGATTTAAGAGGTTATTTGAGTAATTAACTCTCAGGCCCTCTATAGGCCAGATAGTTGTTCCACTACTGTTTTACACCTGAATGTGTGAACTGTTTATCAAACCCTGTCACTGTCACAATAACTGCAGCATGACAGCATTTCTGTATATTTACATTCAATGATTTTGGTGAATGCATTCGGTGATGCTGGAAGTCAGAGTTGGGTGAGCTGAGAGAAAATCTGTCTATATAATGATGCCATACTAAATGCTAAATGCATGGTATTCATGGTTTTTACATTAATGTGAACGGCCTATATACACAGATTGGCCATAACATTATGAGCAATGACTGGTGAAGTGAATAACACTGATTATCTGGTTATCATGGCACCTGTCAGTGGGATATATCAGGCAGCAAGCAAACATTTTGTCCTCAGAGTTGATGTGTTAGAAGCATCGTTGTCTTTTTCAAAGCATATTTTTGGACAAATTAAGATTAGCCACATTCATCAGTCTTCATATTGAGACATTTTTAACATTAACAGACTCTAACAAATGTAAAAACACAAGGGCTTGTTTGGGTAGTTGTGGATTTATTTTACCTTAAAAACACAATTCATTACCATCAGAGGCTCATCAGGACATCAGTTTGGGAGATCTAGCTCTACATGAGATGCTGTTGAGGGGTTGTCTGCTTGGTTAAATGAATGAGAGCAACCGATGGGGTTTAGGTTAAAATTCTGTTATCAAGATGTCTATGTTTTACTTTAGATCCTCTAATAAACTCTATCCGACTGGTAAATGTATGCACCTATTGTTTAGGAGGTGATCGAGTTCAACATCAGGAGCAGATGGTTTGAGGGTGATTCATGTTCAGGCATTTGAGAGCTTTCCTTTCCCTTACTGTGTTAACCTGTGGAACAAGAAATGTGCACATAATTGATGCTTTAAGAGAGAAAAAAACAACACAAGTTAAGCACAGTCTCCTTTCTGGGGTATGTATGTGTACTTTGAACTACGTTTTACAGGTTAATGCACAAATTAATAGCCAAGAATAAGGCTGACGTTAATTAAAGGTTGACTAAGATTAATTATTAAATGCAAATTGCAATTGAACTTAAGATAGGGAGGTGCTCACAGGTTTGGGTCATTCTACGCCGAGACATGCAAATGTCAAACTATTAATGAAGCAACCATCATTCTTCTATATATGTAAAGCCATGTGAAGAGCTGGGGCCATGTCCTAGAGGTGTCCCAACTCTTGTTATTGTAATTTTAATGAAAACACCATCAGGATTGTTACCAGTTTATTAGGTACACCTAGCTAAATCTAATGCAGTCTAATACAACGGTCCTGCAGATACTAGTTTGTGTTTTATTTTGATGTTTCTGGAGCTGTCTTGGCACAAGGCACCTCATCAAAAATCATTCTATGCATACTTACATCTTTAAGTATTCTGAGGCAGAGTGGCTAAATGGTTGCCTCATAACAAGAAAGTCCTGGGTACAAACCGTTCTGTCTCCCCAGTGTCCCCCACTGGTTAATTCTCCAGTCAGAGCCCTTGACCAAGGCCCTGGCTCAGATCTGGAGTTGGGCGCCGCACAGTAGCTGCCCACTGCTCCTAGTACTTAGGTTGGGTCAAATGCAGAGAAAGAATTTTCCTACAGGGATCAATAAAGGATAACTTAACTTAATTGTACTTTAAATGCTTTACACATTAAAAACCAGCTCAGAATTAATATGTAGCATGGAGCTGGGACACAGCTTTAAATACAGTATCCTTTCCTAAATGTTATGTATCCAAAATGTTCCATCAGAGAAACTTCATCTACAGAGGGATCTATTTTAAACATCTAGGACGGTGAAGAGAAAGAGTCTGAATGCAACATATTACTACAATGAGCGGTGCAGGGTGAACGTTTGCACCTTTAAACTGATAACTTCATATTTGTGACATTCGTGTGAAAGCAGTGAAATCTGTTTCCCTTAAAAAGAAAATCGACATGTAGACTGAATATATGGAATAAAAGTGAGGAACAAACTCTCAAACTTACCCAAATTATTGTTTAAATACTTTTTATTATTTGTGCATTATGGTTGGAATATGTGCCAACACAGATAATTACAGAAAAGGCCATAATCAGCCAGTAACATCACAGCACTAGTATTTCTGCTGAGTCCCATCACTGACTAAATGCTTTGTGGTTTTGGCAAAAACAGGAAAAATAAACAGGGCAAGAGTCACAAGAGATGATCTCCATTGTAAGCAGACTGAAAAGTAAAAAAAATAAATAAGTAAACTCCCACTGACACTGCAGATGTATTGATAAAAATCAGTGAGTACAACATACAAAACCAAAAAAAGACGCATCTGAGCTTTTGGAGCTTAAAGTACAGAAATATTAAATCTTTTTTTCTCTTTTTGGTTTCGTTTGAGTTGCAAGAATACATTAACATTTGCAGAGTGTTCATAGTGGCCACTACACACACTACTCTTTTTTTCTCCACACTTATTTACTAGTTTAACTAGATTGCTAGTATTTATAGCTTTAGTTACATTTAAGGCCAATTTAATGTAATGTGGATGTCAGTTTGGTACATGACTTACCCGAAGTGACAGTTCGATGGATATAATTAAAGATATGAGTGGTATAATGCTGAGTGCATATTCTATTCGTTGTGCAACTGTTGTATTTCAGTTACTTTTCATTTTGAGTTTCAACAATTTTTTTTAACAATTAAAATGAATGGCATCTTTTACAGATGTCCCTCCCACAGTTAAGTGAAAGTATATTTATAAAAAAAAAAAAGGCTGTGCCTCATTTTCCGGTTTCTGAGGCAAATAATGAAATACGGGAAGGATCTTGACAAACAGCGCCTCTGCTGGTTGTTTAACAAACATAAACAATTAGTTAGGAATGACCTGGAATCCCAACAGTTGTAACACAGAATGAAGCACATTGTTATAAGCAATATTTATTAACAATAATTGAACTGTTAGATATGGAAAAGTACTGAACACAACCAGTAGAGGGCGCTATGAGAAGTCGTTACTTGTTAGACTACTCTGACCAATCTGCCATAAGGAGTAGTGGTTTGTACTTGAAATGATACGATGCACGCTGATTAAAGTGCGATTTGAAAGCTCCTGCTTCAACAGAAAGCAAAATGTTTGTCCAAAGAGTAAAGGTTAATTCTTCACATTGGTATTTTTCGGCAAAATTACTTTTACCAAAACTTTCAATTGTAATTTGTAGTTGTAGAAAGAGAGACTTAACCTTTCTTGTTTTCACGCTGTTCCTGAAGATAACACTCTTCCATCTTCAAATAGTTTTTCATTGTGGGACAACAGTGAAATGAACATTAATAACAACAATCCACTCTGGAAATAAGATGATTGACAAAATTATGATAAAAAAATGGACCGAGTGTGGGCTTGTTCATGTAAATATGCAAGAAATCTTATAGAGAATTATGAATGGTATGATGGATCACATTTGATTGTTTTACACTGAGCAGTGTAATGGAGAAACTACTCAACATGTAAAATAAACTGATGCTTAAAGGTCCAGTGTGTAACATTTAGGAGGATCTATTGGCAGAAATTGAATAATATTTATAGGTATGTTTTAATTAATGCATAATCACCCGAAAATAATAATTGTTGTCTTTTTGTTAACTTAGAATGAGCCGTTTTTATCTACAGAGGGAGTGGGTTATCTTCTACGGAGTCCGCCATGTTAAACTGCCATGTTTCTACAACAGCCCAGAGTGGACAAACCAAACACTGACTGTTGATAGGGCCTTCTCCTACACGCTTTATTGAGTCAAGTGGTTCCCGTTGGTTGCAATCCCACCACTAGATGCCACTAATTTCCTACACACTGGTTTTTAAGCCTTTTCTGTTGCGCTGATGTACTGCCGTTACATTCGTTTCCAGCGATGCTCACACCGCACACATCATGTCAGTGTAGGCTGCGTTTACTGTGCCTTTGTGGAAGTAATGGAAGTTAATTGCACTTGAGCATTACACATTTCAACAGCTACACATAAAGACCGTGTCAAGCGATTCATTTTACGTTCAGCCTCAGTCATGAGAAATCAATGTAATCCATTGTTTGAGTCGTCAGTGGTCTTTGGTGTTTAGTGCACGGCATTATCGTTTCCCCCTCTACAGCACTCACGAGTAATGCAACAGAAACGTAAACTCTCTGTATAGTACATGACATATTTAGCTAAAGAAAGGATTTACTGGTGAGAAAGTGGATAAAACAAGTTAGAATTAATAAAGAGTTAGTCTGTAAGGGAAGGAAGAGTTACGGATTCTGTTACATTACTCTTTCAAAGAAAAACAAATAGCAGTTGAAGTAATGAGGAGAACTGCTTCAGCACAATTTCCTCTCCAAAGGGTCGGTTCAGTGGCATTCAACGTCGAGCATTTCCTTGCAAATGGAAATAAAAGATGTGCAACCGAGTTAAAAACAGTTTTAAACATTAAAATAAAACAAGGGTGGGGGTTTCCACTTGATGAGTGTGAACAACAAACTGTTTGGTCAGTAAGCTTGAGAGCCAAGAAAATAAAATGTGTGTCAGTGCTTCAAACTCATTGATACTGCAGGCTTGTTTCATTCCAACACCCCTTAAGACAGACAGAGCTTTGTATCCATGTAACACCCCAACCTCACAATGTTAGGGAATGACTGGATACAAATGTTTTACTCCTGGTATTAAAACAGGAACAATTTTGGGGGGAAGTTTTCATATTACAGTGACAACTTAAAAGTTTGTTGAGGTAATAAATTACACCACTGGAAAAACAGGCACACACATGGGCAGTTATTCACAGGCAAAAACCTTAACATTCACTAGAGGGCTGTCAACAGTAAAGCACACAATGGTTATTTGAGACACCATCCTAGAAACAGAGCAAAAACTCTGTCAGCGTATTGCAGTCTTATGCTTTGAACTTGTTTATTGTCACTGATCCTGTTAATCAGGACCGTTTCTCTTCACTCAGACGACTGTGGCGCTCGCTGCAGTTCTGTATCTCTCAAAAAAACATGGGGACGAAGCTGCAGATGGAGACCTCACGCTACAAAGAAATCTCTGTGCGCTTTTTGGATGCAGAGTTCAAAAGATGTGAGCTCCTCAATGTCATGGCATATAGCACACACACATACACACTCCAGGTGAGATTTACTCACCTAAAGTATTCAACATCTAGTGATTTTTGTCCGTGTATATCAAGTCACTTTTACAGTGCATATGGACGTACTGGACCTTGAAGCCATTGATAAGTGTTGAAGGTTTCAAACGTCCTGGTCCATCATGGGCAGACAGCAGGAGGACGTCAGACGTGTCCCTGAGCCTGCTGAGCTCGCCTCTCCTCCAGACAGCGACAAACCCACATGGACACCACCTCTGCATTACCGTCATTATACTGAATGATGAAGGAATGATCCTAAGAAATACAGAGAAAGACAGAAGTGTTAAATCATTTCTGTTTAGAAAACAACTGACAAGTTTGGGTTTATTTTGTTTTATATGGAAGAGAAACATATTTGAAACAATTATTTTTTTAAAAACCCTGGATTTACTAACAATACTATAATAATACTAACAATAATGAGCTGAGTTAAAAAGGTTATTAAGTGAATAAATTAATGTAACGGCACAAAATGGGACTGTGTTTTTAAATTTTGCCATCATAGTTTTTTTCATAGTTTTTTAAAAAAAACATCTTTTCACTTTCCAGTTTACATTTGACCTTCAGAATATTTGTCCTCCACTGAAAAAAATGCACTGAAGTGGCTGTAAAAAACAAAAGTAATAAGCTTTCTCATAAAAACAGAGAAAAATGATATTCCAGCTATTAAAAATGTTAGACCTTTTCTACAATAGTATTTTTATTATCAAACAGATTGGAGCCACAAACATTATTACACGTTTATGTGAAGTGTATAGTTTAGTTCTGCTTGTCTAATTCTTCTCAATCCCGATTGAAGAAATTATAATAAAATACAAATAAACTGAACAGGAACATCATTAAACCCTCTTAAATATTTATGTCCAACAGATTTAGTTTTAAATGCCAAACGTTTAAGTAATGGCCTGTCGGGTCATTAAAGAAATATCTTTAATGATCTACGTGAATTATCACAAGTTGTAAAACGAAATTTGTAATATAAGGAAACAGTGGCAGCAACACAAACCATCTTTGTAATAACTTTTGAAATGTTTTCATTTGTTTTAATTTCAATTAAGAGTAGTTTTAATCTTTACAGATTTTCATCAATAGTGCCAAGGCAGGGTTCACTTGTTACTGCTGAAGGACTGAAACAGAGACATCACATGTGACATCTCAATGACAGCAGTCCCAATCACCAGGCTCATCTGGGGGACTTTGCAGACCAGAGCCAGAGGTCACAGGGGACACGGAAGGGGTCAGAGGTGAGAAGGGACGAGGTTGTAAATGAGACACTTCAACTGAGGCTGACCATGAATTTTATTTGTGGTGTCTAGATGTCCAATTAGATAAACAACGCTGCGGTCGGTCAGTTTAAATGAACTTGTCAACACCGATTTCATATATCTGTCCTTAACAACAAGAGACCGACACTGTTAACTGGAACTGAGAGGACTGTGTATTTTTCTATTAATCTTGCATGTTGTGTTAACTCAAGCTACACGATGTAATCTGCCTTTCTTCACGGCCTCAACCCGCGACTTATATTCTCACACTGTTCAGATCAGTTGACCGGCAACGGTGGGGGTGCTCACACTCACTACGCTGTTCTTTTTTTGGGGGTGGAACAACGTTAAATACTCCCCAGCAACATCCAAACTGGTGCAGACAATGTAAGATTAGTAACAAAGTAGGACAGACTGGTAGTGACGGTCCACTTTCTTCCTCCTGGGATCCTTCTTGTCTATTTGTGGTCACACTGGAAAATATGTTAAACTGAAGAATATAAAAATAAAGTCACATGAAGGGTGGATACATTTTAAAAGTTATAGTAGTATTGTGATTCCTTTAGAAATCTACCAAAATTAATGTTTAACTTTTGTTTGACTTTGATTCTTCCTTTGCTCACTACTGTTATTTTTGACTGAACATACATTCAGCACATTTTTTAATCTGGTGCAGTTTTACATTTGAAAGGGAAATGGTAACACATTCCTGTGTGCTCTAATCCTGCACTAAATGTAGAGATTGTGAAGGACTGGGGGAGCCCCATCAATCCTGTTGTCCTTCTAATGGGCAGCTGGGGTTAACACAGTCTGAGGTTAATTACTCTCATATCAGTGTGAGGGTGTGTGTGTATGTGTCTGTGTGTGTGTCAGTATGAGACGGGTGGAGTGGACGCTCCTGGGTGCCCCTATGTGCTGAATACCCATCTCATCAATCATTCTTCCTTGCCTCAGTAGAGAGGGAGTGAGACAGAAATAAAGAAGGAAGTCCTGAGTGATGTCTTTAAAATCCAACTTTCCACCTCTGCTCCAGAAATTAACCCTGACAGGCCAGAGACATCTGCTGGAATTTGACCTGGATGAAGGTGCGTGGCTTGTCATACAACACTCGACCAGCATAAATGCACACAAGCAAAGACACTGTAGAAACACAACATTTACTTGGCCGAGACACATACTATATTTCTTCAACTGAAGCTGTGGTTGGGGCCTGATCTTTCTTTCTGAATGAAAAATACCTGATTAAAGGTAAGTAAGTAAAAAGTAGCAAAAGAAGTAAAGAAAGTAAGAAAAAGAGAGAACTAGAGACAGTATGCACGATAGATAGCAGGCAAGGAAGAAAGTCAAACTAGACAATAAGGTCTTAGATGGCGTAATTTGATGAAAAGCTCCAGAGCCGAACACCCACTAAATAGACCTTGTGTTGACATTGTTTAGTCAACTACAGTTTTTCCAAGGTGAAGAAGGAACTTTCAATCAAAAATGACTATTTCCATGACAACTAGACAAACTCCATCTATTTGAAAGCTCCAGAACAGATAACTTTATAAAGGTGGTGGGTTTATATACCATACAGTGCTGGCAACATACCACAAATATCGAACAATGTTTGAAGCAAGACACTGATCTTTACACAGCAGGTGGCAACAAGAGCTTCCAACGTATGTAACCTGAATACACATCTGGAAAGGGAACCAGTCCCCTTGCACCTGTCTGCCTATGTGACTCTTTGTAGCCCAGCTTTGTGTACAGGTCGAATGTCTGTGAGCAGCTCAACTAAAGGGTGATGTTCCCTTCTCATATTGTCTCATTTTAATAGTTTAAATGGTAAATGGACTGCCCCTATAGGGCACCTTTCTAGTCATCCGACCACTCAAAGGACTTAAGTTTAATAGCTTGTAGAATCCCAATGAGGAGAAACTATCCAGTGTTTCACAAGAAAAAAGCTAAAAGTTCACAATGATGAAAATATTTATCTTTTATCTATTTTGTGTTGCAGAATTTTTTTCTTCCCTTTGTCTAATTTGTTTTTCTTCTATCAACCCCAATACCCAACACATAAGACCCCCAGGTTGGGAAAAACTGCTTTAGACTGCCACCACTATATTAGAGACAAGCTGCCTTAAGAGTCTTGCTTTGATGCAGATACATACAGGTGCACACACCCTGATATTGAGGATATCAGGAACACATCCTCCGTCTGTCGCACATTCACTCACACACACGCATAATCACGTAATAATTAAATGACTTGCAAATTAAATTAAGTATGAAACCTGTAAGGGAAGAGTTATAAATACAGAGTGAATAAGAGCTCCTTAGTTAGGTCATTGAAGGTGTTGTGACTTTCTGCTGTAGCAGCGTGCGGACAGAGGTGAGACGGGGGAAGGACTCATTTAAAAGTTACATTAATCACCGTCTGGCCACATCAAAATGGGATAATCACCTGCAACTGCTCCGCTCAAATAGAAATGGCCTAAACCCAGGGGAAATTCTACCTAACTCTTTAATTGTTTGATGTCTTTGAAGGGTCTGTTTAATCTAAGATTAATTTATGCGATTTTAAATAACTCTATGTATGATTAATACGCTCAGAAGAAATTAAAAGGAGTTTGAGGCAATTATAACAAGAGACTGGTCATCACCTCATTAGAATAGTGTTGGAGGAAACATGGTGTGTTTGTCAGTGTGTGTGTGTGTGCGGGAGAGAGACAGAGAAGGGTGAAGAGGTAGATAGAATAACTAGGTCTTTACAGATTTGCATGCTAATCACTAGCTCCCTGTGGAAACTGGCTGGCTTCGGTTAGTGTGTGTATGAATGAACAGTATGTGTGTGTGTACTTTGGTCGATCTTTGTGCACAGGGAACGTAGGGAAACTTCTCTTAGTGGTACAATGCTGTTTCCCCTCTAAACTTAATGATCCAAGCATCTAATGCTATTTTCAAACCCATCTACTGTTTTCAAAACTGTTTGCATAGTGAGGCAGAACTTTCTCCAGATATCCACCTATTAATGAGCCACAACAATAAATGTTAGCCACTGAAATGGAAAAAAGTTAGGAAAAAAAAAGACAATAAAACAAGAAAACCAAGAGCAGTAAGAGCATCATAATTCTTATGGCTTAGTTGAGTGCCCAGCCAAGTATACAAAAGAGCAAGATGTCCACTACAGCAGTGGCCAGTATTTCCCCCTCAAAGCTTGGGAGCTTCTGGCTTGTGTGTGCCTGGCAGATAAAACTGAACAGAGATCAAACTGCAGCTGCTGAACCAACAAATCCTACTGGCTGGTCATGGAGAGAAGTGGGATCGTGGGCAGAACAGGGTGCTTTACGAGAGACATGTGGCAGTCCAGACCAACAAGGAACGTTCGCAGTGTCTGCAACACAAAAACCGTCTTAAGAACTACTCACTGACCATTTCACTGATAAACTGACCTTTTTTTAAAGATTATTTTTTGGACTTTTATTACCTTAATTTAATAGTAACAGCTGTAGAGAGACCAGAAAGTGTTAGGGGAGAGGGGGGATGACATGACAATTGAAGCCAGGCTGCTGTGGTAAGGACTCAGCCTTTGTACATGGGATGCACGCTCTACCGGGCTGGCAACCAGGCCAACCATTAAACTGACCATTAACTTTTCTAGAAGATGAGAGAAGGTTAATTAAACAGCAATATTCATTACTGTCTAATTTGTACTTACACCTGAAAAAATATGGTCTTATTAAGAATACTGGATCCAGAACAAAAGGTGGCAAAAATTTATTTTTACTGTACAAGATCTAAACATCCATTTATGTGTAAATTTGGCTCCAACTATCATTCAAAATGACGTGACTGAACAGTTGCACAGGAGTACCATACCATGCAATGAAGTCTGAGTATGTGTGAATGGGATTTATGTCAATGAAGACCCAAGGGTGAAATGTGAAAACATTTGGCAGCGAAGGTGCTGACAGAAAGGTTTAGGGAGGAGGAGACACCAGTGATTTG